ACAAGACGAAGGACCCAGCGAGGGGGAGGAGGAGGATCGAATACCCCTTTCCCAGCTTAAGGAAAGGATAAAGAACAGGAGAAGTTTAGACATAGAGTCGAGAGGTATTGAAGACATTCAAGGCGAAGACTCTAAACAGAAAGAAGAATCAGGGGATGAAGAAGAGGACAAAAAACCTTCTGGACGGGAGTTAAACACAGAAGGAAGGGTGGAGGGGTTGAGCAGGAATCACCTCGGAAGATGAGATCAGGGAGGGAGAAGAACCCCCAAATCTCAGTAGAACAAAAGGGCTGTGCAGAATAGAGGCATTTAGTGTCAACAGATGGCGACGCTGGCTCATCCAAGATCCTGTTGGCTGACTGTGGTGGATGTGAGTGGAGGGGATGGAGATGCGGGCTGCACCTCACGAGGAACGGAAGATCATTGGCATTATTGATTGGCCACCAGTGGTGTCATGAAGTACGACCTTTAGAGTGGGCGCCACGCACACCTGACCAGACCATTCTGTCTGCTAGGGGTTAGTTAGAGGAGGGAAGAGCCGAACTAAGAGAAAAGTTATGAAATGATTGAGTGATGAGTCGAGCGAGACTAAGTGATTGTGAAGAATAACAACAAGAGAATTTGTTACCTTTCAGGAATGATAGCAAAGGTACAAGGTGGAAGCAGACTACATAGCATTAAATTCGGGGAGAACAGAAATTCATGTTGCTATCAGCTGAAGAAGCTAGAAGGTGTAGAGATGATACCCTGGGGACTTGTACCTCGTTGAGCCCTATCTATAAAACTGGTAACCGCAGACTGTGCATACTAGAATTGTTTGAAGGGAGGGGGGAAGGAATCAAAAGAATCTGCCAAGTAGAGGTATTAACAAACTCGGCATTACCACAAGCTATCAGTGTTTCAGACAGGGGTGTGGGCAGTAGCCACCAGAAACATATCAGCCTGTCTAGGGTGTGTGGGGAGAGTCCACAAGGACATTAAGAATAAGGCCACCGTTATCCCTGGTGTCGCTACCCATGGGATGTTCGGCGATTGGGGTGTCCATCTCCTTGCCCCCTATTACCAGATGGAAGAAAAGTATGAAGAAAAAGATTCACTCATAGAGATGATTGGTAGAGGCTTAGTCAATTGTACAGAATTATGGGAGCCGATAGTAAAGAGATTCTCTAATGTCACCTTGAATAAGATGCCAGTATTAATGAAGCCAATAGAAAAGATCGATATGGATCACTTAAGGGATAAGTTAAGTGCGTTGGGAGACGAAGGTGTAGCTTGGGAAGACGATGAGCACATCGCGATAAGTTGGTCAATAGTGATGGGTACATTCCTAGTTATAGCCATCGGGGGTGTAATAATATGGAAGATTAAGAGTAAGAGAAGATTAGCGAACGACAGTCTAGTGAGCATGCAAATAACTCGAGAGGGAGATGCCGAGCAGTGTTCCTTACTCAGACAGGACTGGCGAAGAAATTGCTGAAAGACCAATGGAGGAGGCTGGCGTGAGACCACCACGTGCGGCGGGAAAACCTCCCACGGCAGAGAGGAAAACATTGACCAAGAAGAACAAACCCTAGTGAACACATCTGCACCTACAAACACACGCACACATTACCTTGCATGTAAAACAAAAGAAAATGAAAAGAACATTTCATTGCATGTAGAACAAAAGAAAATGAAAAAGAACATTTCATTGCATGTAGAACAGAAAAGAAAATGAAAAGAACATTTCATTGCATGTAGAACAGAAGAAAATGAAAAGAACATTTCATTGCATGTAGAACAGAAGAAAATGAAAAAAAGAAAATGAAAAGAACATTTCATTGCATGTAGAACAAAAGAAAATGAAAAAGAACATTTCATTGCATGTAGAACAGAAGAAAATGAAAAAGAACATTTCATTGCATGTAGAACAAAAAGAAAATGAAAAGAACATTTCATTGCCTGTAGAACAAAAAAAAATGAAAAAAGAACGTTTCATTGCATGTAGAACAAAAGAAAATGGAAAAAGAACATTACCCTTGCATGTTAGAAAGTAGAATAGAATTGCATGAGACAAATGCATGGTGCATGTTAAATGATGTAATTGGGTTTAGGTGTCATTTACGGGTAAATGACAAATCGGTTAGGGAGGATTGTGGCACCTTGCATTATTAGAAATATTCATAGAAATATGATTTAATTTTTTCTTACTCGGTTACTAAACAGGTTGTTGATTTTTTTTAAAACGGAAAATAACTGAGTTGAAAATAATTCACTAAGATTGTACTAGACGATCTTAAGGAAGAAGAAGGAAAGAAAAGAAAAAAAAAAAAAGAAGAAGAAGAGAAAAAAGAGTTGTAAAATGCATGACCCAATTGAGGGTGGAGATAGAGTCAGAAAGAGATTTAGGTCAGCGTCTTGGCCGATTTTTCGAAAGACAATTGAAGAATAGAATTATAAATAATAAGAAGAAAGAAAGGGAAAAAAGACATGATATCAAAACGGGCCGAAGAATGTAGACCAGATATCGTCAAAAGCATCTGACCGACTTTTGCGTGGAGAGACTCCTTTATCAATTTGGATTAGAACAATAGAAACGAAATTTTTTTGGGTTGAGGGAGTGACCAGTGGAACGATATACAGATCTGACCTGTTAAGAATTGGACACCCACGTTAATAAAGTAGAGACATTTCAATGTAGATAATTAAGATTTTCGACTATCAGGAAAAAAAAAGAGGTAAAAAGAGGGACAATTGCTTTTTGGCTCACAGAGGGCGCCAAAAAGGCGGAAAAGATCCTTTCTAAAGTCAAGACTAATTAGCAGCGGGCTGTTTGGACAAAAGTCCAAAAAAGAAAGCCAAAATTGTCATTTTAAAACGTGCAAAAAAGACAAAAAAAATTGATTTTGTTTTTTTTAAACAAGAACGATGTAACCACGCCCGCAAACAAGGGGGGGAGAGGATGTTCGATCAATAACAATTGGTCGAATACGATCACGTGACCTGCGGAAGAAAAGGAAAGAAATGTTCGACCAATAACAATTGGTCGAATACGATCACGTGACCTGCGGAAGAAAAAATAAAGAAATGCTCGATTAGGAACGATTGGTTGAAAAGCGGTCACCTGACAATACGAAGAGACTAAGAGAGATGGATGTGCCCGCCCCACCAAAGGTACTGCGAGGAAATAGGGGCGAAAACAATAGCGATAATGGAGAAGACAGAATTAATGCAGTTTTTGGAATTATCGAAAAACCCCTTTACGCCGACAGACCCACCCCAGTTTGTTGCGGCGTCAATAAAAAGAGGGCCCCAATCGACAAAAAACATCAGTTCATCCCCGGACGGCAGCGAGAAAAGAACCCTCAGACAAGAAGAACTTCCAGCCCAAGTAGATGAAGAAGAAGATTGCCTGAAAGCCTGAGAAAAATTGGAGCTGCAGACAAGCCGAAAGTCGATGAGAAGTTAAAGTTCAGCTCCGGTCGGCAGTGAGAAGAGACCACCTCAGACGACAGAGAGTTGCGGCTAAGTTGAAACAAGAAATCTTCCACCAAGTTGAAACAGGAAAACTACCAGCCCAAGCAGACGAAGAAGAAGAAATACAACTCAAGTCGGAGAGAAGAATCAACTGCGAATGATCGATAGAAATTAGCCCCAGTGTCGAACTGAAATTACACTCCGACATACATACATGATTCTAGAAAGTAGGTAATTCGACATTTTTCTATTGTGTGATAGAAGCTTGGTGCCATAGTCCACAGAGCGGGTCGGGAAATGAGAACACTTTTGTTTTTATGTAACGGACTTTAAAGATATAAAAAGGTTGTTACCCTTTTTATCAGCAATTTTGTTTGGTGTCGTGAGTTTTATTTTATTTGTGTTTTGCCACCCCCGTCGGACTCAACTTGTATCGGCCCCATCCCTGCTGGTCCCGTCTGTCTAAGATCTAAACACAGCGTGGGTAGACAGACCGGAGATCGGTATAGTTGCTTTAGTGACCAGGTATTGGAAGCGAGTCGGGAAAGGCGAGGCTGGTGATCATCTGACCAAAGGGTTGGAGCGGCACGCTTGGACCCAGGAGGAGCGACCAGGAGGAGCGACGTCACCGTTGGCGCCGTAACCAAAGGATCCGACACTGGGCCAGGTGTGTAACCGTCACATTATGCATTCAACTTTTGTCTTGTTTTCAACTTTATTTGCATGATTTGTTCCAAGTATTTGTTCTAAATAATTGTTATGGACGAATGTTGTAGAACACGGCATCGAAATTCCTTCTGATCAATTTAAACACAATCACCAGTCTGCAACAAAAGTGGTAACCCCGACGTTTCAAAACAAAAGTGATAACACCGCCATTCAAAGCAAAATTGATAACTTCAACGTTTGAATCAACAAAGGACTACGAAAACTGGCAACTACAACCTCCTAACATTATGTTGTGGATTCCAAAAGTGAAATCCGGTACCAATAAATAACAAACGCCAGGAATGAATATATGAAAAAAAGTGTATTAACGTAATAATACAAACTGATAAAAAACAGGTTAGTAGTTCCAGGAATACGTGTTAGTAGCAAAATATATATACAGTCTTTGGTATTGAAGTATCGTTGTATGACTTTTACTCAGTCTACGTGGTCGCTCACTGTGACTCCTGGCAACGCTGTTACCTCACCCTCACTCTTCCGGTTACCTACAACCTTTTTACTCTGTCACTCTGGACTCGACTCGACGGGTATTCACTGGCAGTAGTATAAGTATACACTGGGTGAGTCCATTTGTATAAAAAGGGGTGGACCCCTCAACACATTACCAACATCGACTCAAAATTTAAAAAAAAAAATAAAAAAAAACGTGATTTTCAACATACACAGCACTTTAGAAAATATTTCCTTCATGTATCGGAACCAAACCTTTGCATAAACCGAAAAGGTGTAAAAATTTTTCGTTTTCCCTCTAAAATTGTTATCTTCTCAACATGGCTGAACCTATTACCACAACTGAAGCGGCAATAAGGCTGGAAATGCCCGCATTTAATTCCAATACCCAGACATGGTTTCTGCAACTCGACGCAATATTTCAGGCGCGACACGTCACATCAAAGCAGTCCAAGTTTGCCTCAGTCGTTGAGAAGCTACCTGCGGAAGTCGCCGCAGAAGTTGCAGACATACTCACAAACCTTCCAACCGACAAGCCTTACAAAGTATTAAAGCAGGCCATATTGCGTCGCACGGGTTGCTCTGAGGAACGTAAAATCAAAGACCTTCTCACAAATTTAACCATAGGCGACAGCAAGCCATCTCAACTCTTACGCCGCATGCAATCGTTACTTGGCAGCAACACCATATCTGACACTGTCCTTAAGCAGATGTGGTTAGACAAACTACATCCTGAAATCGTCCGAATATTAGCCGCCCTAAAAGACGAAGTCGGCTTTCAGAAGTTGTCTGTAATTGTCGACAAAATAGCTGATACTACTCCAGTTCGGCAAATATCCTCTACAAGCACGTCAGACGACCTCACTTCGGATTTTCATCATAAATTACAACTTCTAACATCCAAATTGCAAAAACTATCCCTACGGCTCGATGAAGTGCAAAACAAACCGAGAAAAAGCCGTGGCAACTCAATTACACGACATTTCAACCGTAGACCACGTTCAGCGTCGCGTCGCCCTCACCGCCATCAACATGGTAACTGCTGGTACCATGAGATGTTTGGCGCGCAAAAAAAAAATGCCAGCCTCCATGTGCTTTCCGGAACACATTTTCAACTGAATTACAGGGAAACGGATTATCTGGCACCCAGTAAAGGCGTTGGATGCCACGGCTAACAACGAAAACCGTCTTTTCTATATTCGTGATCAAAACGGCAACCTCTATTCACAAATCAGTGTTGTACCACTTAAGAATTGAGACAAGTCGACGATATCCAAAACAAGCTTCATTATAACTACAAGCAGCAGAATGGCACACCAATCAATACCTACGGCGAACGTGTCATGTCACTTAATATCGGACTAAGAAGGAATTCGTGTGGACCTTCACAGTCGTCAACGTCGAAATGCCAATCATCGGTGCGGACTTTCTAACACATTACAACTTATCTGTAGATTTATCTTCGCGCACGCTGACAGACGCGCGTGCAACGCCGCTGATCTACCTCAAGACACTCGACATTGGGTTTAACAGCTGTAGTACCAACGGCTACGAAGAATTACGACAAAAACATCAATCTCTGTTATCACCGTTCACTTACGCGGATCCGATTAGACATAATGCACATTCGATAAAAACAACTGGACCCCCAGTTTATGCTCAACCGCGTCGTCTACACCCCAGCAAACTACGGGTAGCTAAGGACGAGTTTAATAATAGAGAAACTAGGCACAATTCGTTCATCATCCAGCCCTTACGCTACACCACTTCACATGGTCCCAAAGGCTGACTCACATAATTGACGTCCATGCGGCGATTATAGACTACTGAACGCCCAAACTATCCCGGATAAATATCCCATCCCCCACATTATAGATTTCGCTCTGTCATTGGAAGGCGCCAAAGTTTTCACCAAGCTGGACCTGCGTAAGGCATTTTATCAGATCCCTATCGAGCAGTCCGATATTCCTAAAACGGCAATAGCGACTCCTTTTGGCTTATTTGAATTTACTAGAATGCCTTTCGGCATCAATGCAGCCCAATCATTCCAGCGACTGATCGACGAAGTCCTCCGCGGATTATCTTTTGCCTACGCCTATATAGACGACGTTTTAATAGCAGCCAGCGGTACGCACGAAAAGCACTACGAACATCTCAAACGGTTTTCCAACGTTTACAGCATTATGGATTGAAATTAAACGTGGATAAATGCGTATTTGCTGTTCCCAGTTTAACCTTTCTTGATCATATTATAGATGAACATGGCTTAACTCCCTTAGACCAGAAAGTGAAAGCAATAACCGACTTTCCACCACCAACTTTAAGACAATTTTGGAGGTTCTTGGGAATGATTAATTATTACCGCCAATTTATTCATAATTGTGCTTCAAATATTACTACCCTTAACCAACATTTTATCAAGGCATAAGAAAAAGAACTCGAAAATAACTTTGTCTTCAGAAGAGATGAACTTTTTAACACTGCCAAAGGCGCGCTACAAAATTGTGGTAAGTTGTCATACATGTTATAAAATAAAATAAGACACATCTCGGCTAATTTACAGGCAAATAAACTAACATACTCAAGAGCGAGAGCCGGATGTGAACGGGACAAAGCCCCGTCACAAAATGACCAGTATCTTCGTTTACAAATGTTCCCGGCGCACGAGTTCCAGTCGAAAAATAAAATAATATTTAAAGTGTTCTATTCTAAAAAAATGCTTCCCTCCTAATTATACTCGCTTCGTTTTTCGAGCCTGTTAAGCCATAAAAAACGCCATAAAAGGGGTCACAGGGAGGTACAACAGGCAGTCAACAGGTGGCCAGGGCAGAGACCTGTCAGGTCAGGCCGAGCGGTCAGCAGCTGTCAGCAAGGGAGCATCAACCAGCGTCAACCTGGGTGAACTACTATGAGAGATCGACCTAGATCCGGAAGCCGGCTTATGATCTATGCCACAAGGTAAGCTGTCCCAAACCCTCACGTTCCTGTTGAAATAAACCACGTAAATCTATTTCTACTGTTGTCGTATTTCTTTCTTGCAACCATACGCTTGTCTATAACATACATAACTTCTTCGGATGATGCCAAGCTAACTCTCACCACTCTAATACTATCGGCGCAGTCTTACATCAAGTTGTCCACGGAACTGAGAAACCATTATCATTCTTTTCTCTCAAACTTAACTACAAGTCCGCGTGTAGGTGAGTAAAACGTCCATCAGGGTTTGGGAAGTTTGACGGAGGGGCTTTGGTGTGTCTTACTACTTTGGTTGACTGGCAACGTTGACACGTGCTTGACGTCAGTTGCCATACCGCGCCAGACGAATCTGTCCGGTATGGTCCGCAACGTTGCCTTAGCACCAGTGAGTGAAAAATGATCGAATACAGGTCGTCGCACTGATGGATGTAAATAAGAGCGTGGATTGCCCGTGCTGATGTCACAGTACACCGATTTATCGGTAAATGGTAATGGCCTTTTTCAATTTGCAAAGAAGTGTCAGATCGAACAGATGAGAAAGTTTCGTCGTTAAGTTGTTCATCTGCAAGGGTGTCGAAATTAAGTGCAGCGGGCTGAATGTTACTGAGTGTCGTACGAGATAATGCATCAGCCACGGTGTTGCTGGTTCCTTTGACATAGCGGATGTCAGAGGTGAATTGGTCCTATGTAATCCATGTACCGAATGTCACAAGGGTTGTGTTTCTCGGATTTAAAATGTAGGTCATATGTCAACGGTTTGTGGTCAGTGAATATCGTAAATTCACGACCATCTAATATGTGACGGTAGTGTCTAATTGCCAGGTACACTGCGAGTAACTCCCGAGAAAGTACTATATATTTCATCTGCGCGGAGTTAAGTTTGAGAGAAAATAAAATGTTGTGATATGTGTGTATGAAAAAAAAAATTATCTTTCCTCCTCCTTCGTGCGTCACGTGATCACCACTTGACCAATGATGTCTTAGTCAGGCGTGGACGAATCCGCGGCTTTGTTTCGGAAAAAAATATCTTGCTTAACTAAAAAAAATAATCCCTTTTTTTCCTTTTCTTCCTCTTAATCGCCGTTATCATTTCTCTAGCCGCAAACGGGACAA